ACTGCTGACATTTTTCTTTTGACCAGTGTCTCTTAAGTTTAGTTGTACTGTCTCCAAGGGAAGTTGACGTGTCCTGTAGAACTCCTGTGTAGATTATGTTTTCCTTTCCGCCGGGTTTTGCTGGTTCTCACCTGGAAGGCGCCTCCTTTTGCTGTTATCCGAGGTGACTTTGCCCAGTGAAGCCTCCTTCCTCCCTCTCTGGCCGGGTTTAGCTGACTATACTTTACAAATACCTCTATTTCCTTATCAGCGAATTGGGATAAGAATAGAGTCAATGAGAGAATTCATTTAAGACACTGGAAACAACACCTGGCACTTTCTAAGCCCTCAGTATTTATCAGCGATTTCTACTATTAGGATCAAATTTAAACGACCAGCTCATTAGAGTCTCAAGTGTCCAACCCTTGTCAAGGGGTAGCTAGGGGCACCCTGTGAATTATATCCCCATAGTGAGGTCATGACACTGAGCTAGAAGAAGGGAGTGTGGATGGTGGGCTGACAGAAGAAGAGATGTCCCCACCTGGACTTTACTCTGCCTTCTGACATTGCTCATCATTTTCTTTGCTGATCAGCTCTGTTAGTCTTTAAGCACCTAAATAATTAGGAGCCCTGGTGACTAACTAAAAGCTGGCAGTTCAAACCCACCCATCAGGGAAAAGGGATAATTATTTGCTCCCATAAAAGTTACAGCCTACCGAGTCCTATGGGGTGTTCTATTCCAGCTCATGGGGTCATTATATTTTCAGATTCACTTGAAGCCACCTAATAACAACAACAATATGTAAGAAACGTATTTTCTCTTTAGGATTCTAGCCTTGGTGCCTTCCACACCAAGAATGTTCAATACCTAGTTGATGGATTGAATGAAAATTAGGTCCTGGGTTATATGTGATGCACATCTGTGCTCAAGGGTCACCTGGATATGGATGACTTAAAGCACTGGGAATTTTTTTTCAAGAAATTCAAGATTTTCTAATTTCAAGGGGGAAAAAAGAAACAGAGCTGTGTCAAAACTTTCAAGAAATTTCTTGAGACAGCAATATCAAGAGAGATATCTCCTCTCTGTGAAAAGTTTCATTTATTTCAATAAAAGCCAGTATGCACAAAAATACAAATGGAATATTGTAAATTTTTTTTATTGCTTGTACCAGTGAAAAAATATCTACCAAGGTGGATATGCTAGGTACACACATATATGAAACTAATTGAGAGTACTGTTGTTGCCGTTAGGCACTACTGAGTAGATTACAACTCATGAAGACCCTGAGAACAATAGATCTGAACCCTGTCCTATCCTGTGCCATTCTTACCATCTCTAACGCACTCAAGCCCATTGCTGTAGTCACTGTGTCAATTCACCTGATTGAAGGTCTTCCTCCCTTTCCACCTTTCCACCTTTCAAAGCATAATGCTCCTCTCCAAGGAATAGCCTCTCCCTTAGCAACATCCCCAAAGTATGCGAGATGAATCTTTGTCAACCTTGCCTCCAAGAAACACTCTGGTTGTACCTTCTCTAAAAATAATAGTTAAAAACAAGAACAACACTAATTACAATATGTGAAATTGAGGCCTTTGAATTGTATGTAGTATTGGTGAAAAGTATTGAGTATACCATGGACTCTCAAAAGGACAAACACATCTGTCTAGGAGAAAGTATAACCAAGGTGTTCCTTAGAGGCAAACATGGTTCGACTTTTTCTAATGTACTTTGGGTATGTTGTGAGGAGGGACCAGTCCTTCTAAGACATCATCCTGGGAAAGGTGGAGGGTCAATGAAAGAGAGGAAGACCCTCAGCAAGAAGCACTGACACCATGACTGTAGCAGTGGACTTGAGCAGAGTGGAGAATGTGATGATGGCACAGGGTTGAGCAAGGTTCTGATCCGTTGTTTGTAAGGTTCGTATGAGTTTTAGTCAAGTTGATCACACCTAACCACCAAAACAGCATGTACAATAACAAGGTACAGAACAAAGAAAACCAAGAGAACAACAAGAAAGTAGTCCCATAAAACAAAAAGAGGGGAGAGGACTATATATTGTAAAATTTTGCACATGTAAGATTTTGGAATTTATATTAAGAGTATGACATAATATACGCAAATGAAAGCAAATAAATTGTTTGTTGTGTACTTTCAAGTTGGAATAGACCCATAGCTGACCTTCCAGAGGGTTTCCTTTTAATACAATTTTTTAATTTTAATTGTGATTTTAATGAAAGTTTACAGAAAAGTTAGATTTTTATTCATTCATTGTTGTACATTTTATCCCTCTCCTTACCTTCCCACACCCCCAGTTCACTTTTTTTTTTTAAAAAGAAATTCATTCATCACAGAGGGTTTTTAGAAGCAGTACACTGCATAGGAGGTTGTCCATCTTTCTCTCATCTGGCAGATTTGAATCACATGCCGTCAGATTGCAGTGCAGCTTCTTACCACTGGGCCACCAATACCGTGTATAATATACTAGTACATTTAAGTGGTATTGTACCACTAAGTGAGACCCTCCCCATCGCTGATCCTCCATTGGGTTTTCAGAGGCGGTAGCCCATGGGAGGAGATTGTCCATTCTTCTCTCACAGAGAAGCAGGCAGATTTGAACAGCATGCCTTGGGGATTGCAGTGCAGATTCTTATCCCCAGGCTACCAGACCTCCCTATTTATGTTTTAGTGCTGGTGAAATGAACTCCAACTCATAGCCACCTGGTAGGAACTATTCTATAGCGTTTTCTAGGCTGTAATCATAATGTAAACAGATCACTTGGTCTTTCTTCTGCAAAGCTATTGGATGGATTAGAATCGCCCGCCACCCTTTCGGTTAGCAGCCGTGAGCTTAGCTAATGTGCCACTAGAGCTCTTTAAGCATTTATGTATATGTTTATAAATATATAGAACAAAGTAGCAGCAGTTACTTTTGGAGAGAGAGAGATCAGAACTGCGATGTTCTAAGAAAATCCTCACCTGATCATCAATATTTAATTCCTTTTTTACAAGGAGAATGTACTCATACATTATTTAATGGGAATTTTCTTTTTTAAAAAAAAGAAAACAAACAAGGAAAAAATGAGAAAACCCCAAGACCTCTGCTTTGCTTTTGTTTCAGAATGTCGTGACATCCTGCTTCCTGTCATCACCAAAGAACTGAAGGAACTGCTGGAGCAGAAAGATGAGATGCTACTCCAGGTCCAGGAGAAGAAGTACTGTGTTGAGTTGCTGCACAGCATCTTAGAGGTCCTCAGTTGTCAGGACGCGGTGAGTCCTTACGGTGGTATAGATGGCCTGGACTCAGGGGAGGTCCGAGTTGATTAAGTTTTAAAATAATGATGCTGATGACGTTTAAAGATAAAAGTCAAGAACTTGCTCAGCAGGCCTGCTTTTCCACTCTCATTGGTCTGAAATATGTTTTGGGGCTGGAACTAAGCTTGTAGCATTTTGTCACCATTTCTTGTTGGACAGTCCTTCTCAGAGTGTGGATATGGACATTAGTGTAGATTTTTCAGATGACTTATCTTTACACTCAATTCTTTGTTTGCTGGTGTGTGAGTTTTATATTTCAACCAATCAAGAATATCCTCTTACCTATTTCCCTGGCTGATTTTTGCATGTTTTCTTTCTCTGTTTATTGCAATGATGAAGCAACTGGTTGAAGTTCTCTTGTTATTTACATTCTTGCAGAAAATGATTGCCCAGATTCAGTCTTGAGAGCTGGATCAGCAAGTAGGGTGGTCACAGGGGGGGAGGCTGCAGCAGTGATACCATAAATATATTCAGTAGCCATTGGAGATCTGTTTATGTGGGTATATATCCAAAAGCAAAGACCAGAGGACACTTTTTAGTGGGAATAAGTGGAGGGGTTCACAATGGGCAGAGTGTGTGGATGATATTAAGCAAGATGGAACCGTGAGGTTGGTAAATGTCGAGAAATAATTACCACTGGACCAATAGACAGTGTAATGAGAAAGGAGATTGAAACTTTCAGCTTTCCAAGCTTCATCTTACTTGGATCCACAATTAACACCCTTGGTACAAGCAGTCAGAAAATAAGAAGATGCATTGCACTTGGAAAACCTGCCGTTAGGGACCTTTCCAAATGATTGAAGAGTAATGATGTCAGTTTGAGGACTAAGGTGTGTCTGATTCAGGCTTTCCAATTACTTGCTATGCATCTGAGAGCTGGACAATGAATCAGTAAGGTAGAAAAAGAATTGATGCCTTTTGAGCTGTGGTGTTGGAGAAGAGCGTTGAACATTCCATGGACGGCCAAAAGAACAAACAGATATGTCTTGGAGAGGGTGCAGCCAGAGTGCTTTTTGGAGGCAGGAATAATGAGACTTTGCTAGGATATGAAGGGCTAATCCTTCGAGAAGGACATGATTCTGGGAAGGGTGGAGAGTTGGCAAAGGTGAGGAAGACCCTCAACCAGGTGGATTGACATAGTGACTGCTACAGTGGGTTCTTGTGTGTCAGGAAGTATGAGGATAGCACAGGATAGAACAGGATTCAGATCACTTAGGGTCATACTTGACTTGATGGCACCTAACCACAACAATGACTAAAGATAGGCCTTGAGTTTTGGAATTTGGAGATGGGTTATAAAGATTTTTAACATCACCTAGGTTTTTATAGCAATTCCACTCCTGTCCTTGAATAGTGTCCAGGAGTACCTCTGATCTAGGGTGAAACTGGTCTTGTAGTGCTTAAACAACCAACAAATGCTGTTTGAGTTTTTGTGTTATACTTATCCTCTCTCCATTCTCCCTGGACAAAATCCTAAAAGAAGAGATTTCTCAATTTCATCTCTTACTGACTATAGTTGGAAAATTCTGTGGAACAATATTATTTTACCTCTCGTATCCCATAGTCAGTCATTACAATCAATGACTTTGTAAGAGGTCTCTTCTGTTTCTTTTTTTCTAGTCTTACTATTGTGATTAAGCTCATCTCAGTAGCTTGATTAATGCAGACATCCATCCATTCATTCGCTTAGAAGTAATACAAGGCACCTGATATTAAAAGAACATAGAAACACTATTTATTTTTTCCCTCAGGGAAGCCCTTAGGAGGGGAAATATACATGGGAATATGTAATTGAGATAAGGGATGTAGTCTGGGTGTATTAGATCTCTGTCAGTTTGCTGTGCCCGGATGGCTTGCATGTTGCTGTGATGCTGTATGCCATGCCTCCAATATTTCAAATGCCAGTAGGGCCATCCATAATGGACAAGTTTTAGTGGAACTTCCATACAAAGATAGACTAAGAAACAGGATTGGCTATTCACTTCTGAAATAATAGGCCCTTGAAAACTCTATGAATAATAGTGGACCATTTTTTGATATAGTGCTGAGAGACTGGAAGACTCTACAAATGTGACTGAGAAAGAGTTGCCTCTTCAAGGTAGAGTCTACCTTAATGATGTAAATGAAATAAGGCTTTCATCAATGACATACTTTCATTAGCTGATGTCACAAGATTAAAAATGAGGAGACACAGCCACAAAATCCATTCATAGTGACCACAACCATGGTCTTGAGCATGGTGGAGACTGTGTGAGTGGTGCAGGATAGGGCAAGGTTTTGATCTGTTGTCCATGGTCTTGCTTTGATTTGGACTCAACTCAATGGAACCTAAATCCTGCTTGATCTTCTTGGAAATTCCATAGCTATGTACTTTCTCACTATTTTTAAATGATCTTCAGGATATAAAAGAGGCTGTGGCACCAAGGATGTCATTGCTGATGTCAGAATGATTCTGGCTGAAAGTAAAGAATACCAGAAGAATGTCTATTTATGCTTTATTGACTATGCAAAGGCATTTGATTGTGTGGATCACAAGTTATGGCTAACACTGAGAAAAGTGGGAATCCCAGATCACTTAATAATGCTGATGTGAAACTTATTACTTAGACCCAGAGGGTGTTGTGTCAACAGAGCAAGGGAGCACTACATGGTTTAACATTAAGAAAGGAGGGCATCAAGGTTGTATTCATTCTCCATACCTATTTAAACTATATGTGTAGCAAATTATTTGAGAATCTGGAATCTATGAAGACGAATAGGGCATCAAGATCAGAAGAATACTCATCAATAACACTGTTTTCCCCCCCTTGCCATTTCCCTCCTGGTTTTGAGGAGAGGTAGTATAATTCCTAGGAGCTTGACTACTCAAGATTCAATCTTGTACTGATGCTAATAGTTGAGTATTGCTTTCTTAAGCAAAGAGTCTGTCCCAGTCTTTGCTACTTGATCTTTTTTTCATTGGTTTTTTCTTTTTTTAGAGAAAGAGCTTAGTATTACTAGCTCTTATTGTTTAGGGACATCAGGATTGGACCATCATGTCTCTAGAAGCATCTAAAGAAAGAAGTCTCTTTCTGTTAAAAAGCCAATTTGCAACTGTTTCTTACATTTGCATAATTAATGCTCAGATGTCTTGTTACTGTGGGGAGGCTGAATCATGGATCCTGGTAAGGTGCCAGTGGACCCAATTTGGAGAACTCAGTTTTGATGGGCTAACTGCCAACTTCCTGACTTGAATGGAAGGGCAGCTCCAGTGAACAGTTGATTTGTAAAGCAGAGGTGATGAAGCCCTGCCCTGTCCAGAGGACAGTCCCCCCCCAAGTTCTAATCAGCACTTTGCACCATCAGTGACACTGGAAACCAGTGAGAAGAGGCTGTCGTCTCACACACCCCTGTGTTTAGGGCTCCAAAGCCAAGCACTGAGTGGGAGGCTCTTTGCTCCCCTTTGGTGATGGTGGCATCTGGACGTGAGGTGTGTGGGAGGTGTGTTGTCACTCTTTACTGCCTCTGAGTGTGTTGCTTTTATAATGAATTCTGACTGTGGGGACATTCCCACTCCTTCCCCAGGGTGAACAGCTATCTTTGTTGGATGAGTTATTAAAGATTTTGATGAGCTGGGTGAGCTCCACATCTAACCTCTTCAGCTCATAGCTGCACATAGCAATTTCTCCTTTTTATTTGAAAAGCCTTTGCTTCCAGAATTGAGATTCATTTGGTAGTCATTATTATTATTTTGAATGAAACAAAATAATATCAGAAAATAAAAATGTCCAGCTGTCTAATTGCAATCTGTCTTGCTCTGGTACCAGGTGGGTCTCAGGTTGAGCTGCATGTTCACATCTACTATAGGGAGCTTTGCCAAACAGCAGTGCCCATGTCCCATGCTCAGGGGTTTAGAATTTGTTAGGCTGGGGCTGGGGGGCGTGACTATGACAAGTTTTGTGTTGTGTGCAGTCCAGTTAAGCTGAGTTGGTTATGATGGTTAGTGACCCTATAAGACAGAGTAGAACTGCCTGTTCTACTGTTCTATTATCTTATTCATTGTAACCCTGGGTGGCACATGACTCAGGGCAAGATGTAGACTTTTCCAGGCTGCAATCTTAAGGGAACAGATTGTCAGGTCTTTTCTCCCTCAGGACAGTTGATGAATTCAAAGTGTCACCTTTTTGGTTAAAGGTGTAGGGCTTACCCACTTAGCCACCCCAACTGACTCTTATGAGACAGTTAAACCAAGTCAGATTTGTTGCCTTTGAGTCGATGTAAGTCCTAGCGAGCATTCAGGGCACAGTAGAACTGTTCCTTGGGGCTTTTTGGGCTGTGAATCTTTGTGGAGCAGGCTGCCACATCTTTTTCCCACCAAGTGGTTGGTGGGGTTTTAGTTGGCAGTCAAGGGCTTAACCACTGAGCCAGCAGGGCTCCTCTAGGAGAAGTTTTACCCAGTAATTGTAATTGGCAACCAGTGGATGGAGAATCACAGTGCTAGTGCGTGACAGTCACCCAGAAAAACTGTTAAAACACATACCTGATTTCTAGGTCTGCAGGGTGGAGCTGAGACTTCCTTTTCCTAACAAGTTCCAAGGTGAGGTTGATGATGCTGGTCCAGAGACTACACTTTTAAGAACTACTTCTTTGAGGTGACATATTTTTTTTCCTTCTTCCCCAATATTCACTGGGAAGGGAGTAAGTTATCAGCCTTGTGTCCTCTCATTTCTTAACTCTATTCTCCAATCTATAATCACCTTCAAATCACCACCTTTAAAGCACCTTGGAATATGACGTATAGTAGACTATAAAATGATGATGTCCTCACACAATTCATGGACCCTCACAAATTTCTTCTCCTGAGGTGGTGGGAATATGACATATGCAAAAATTCAGCTTTTAGAAATCTAGACAATGAAATCTGTTTGGTTTCTACTGGCACCAGCTTCTACAAATTGGAAATTTTGAAGAAAGCA